CTAAAGCCGTAATTGCACAGCTAGCTATGGATCGTCTGATACGGTTATCTCTATTTACTTTTTATGCTGCTTGTTAACGAAAATTGCAATGCGTTCCTTGTCTATCTAGTAAAACTACTTTGCGAGCTTGTGAAAACCTTAAGTCTTAAAATAAAGGAATAAAATGTCTTAAAAGGTCGGCTGACCTTTCCGATAATTCATTCTCAAACCTGATTAAAATCACGCTATTTCAATTTCTTCAAGACTCAATTAAACTTCCCTTTAAAAATTACTGCATTTATAAATAGCATGTCCTTCGGTGCCCTTAGCGACATACGTTCGGGATATTTTTCCTAAGCTAATAAATATTTATCAGTCTTCGTCATATGTTTGAATGGCGTAGTGTAAATTCTGCTTTAACAGATGTACACATTGCACTTTAAATGTAAAAACAATGTCATCTCACACTGAAAGCTGTCAGCAAAAGCTGACAGAATTTTTAGGGTTGGGGATAATGTTAGTCTTTGAACTTTTGATGATTTTGATGCCCACTTTTCGATAACAATTGATTCAGCATTGTTTATGGTTGCTTTAGATATTATATTAGGAAACTGAACTTAGCACACATCAGATAGAAATTGCAGCACCTCTCCAATTACCAGCGTGCTGCCCTAGTGGAATGCTTGACAACAATGTCAGGACAAATTTCTGATTTATACAATTTTTCTTGAACCAAAGTGCGCTCAACACAAATATAAACAACAGTTATGATGAAACAATGAAGTGAAAATGTCAAAAAAAATATCCCGGGCTCTTTCTGGACTGGCGGGGACGAGTTGCAGCGACTGATCATGGCTTTCCTCATCAATAGCGCTTAACGAAAGCAGCCGATTGTTGTGCGGAAAAATTCGTAATCATCGGCTCTTTGGACGAGTTGCATAAGTGCAGATTTCAAGTAGTCCCAAAGTCGTTTTTCTCGGTTAAGCCTTGCTTTAGGGAGGCAAGAAATCAAAGACAGTCAGTCGTTCAAACTCCTCCCCGTTAGACCAAAAAGAGTTTGGAATTTGTTTTGTCTCACTCTGATCGAAGCCTATTTCATGTCCAGTACCGAAATGGTCTAAAGAAGGTGGAAAACTTTCGAAAATTTTGCACGCTTTGAAAACATCTGAAATAAAACTATTTCAAATAATCCTGCACAATTAGCTCACATCTCTGAAAATGGATTTGTAAAGCGGAAGTTCTAAAATAGAAAATTTAAAACCCGACAAAAATCCCCTATTTTCTATTCAACCGAAAAATTCCGGTGATTTGGGTATCCCTAACATTGTAGTCAAATAACAAATTTTGATCGCAGTTTCGCATTGCCATCAAACTAAAATCAAGTCGCGGTAATTTTCAGGCGATTCCGAAGGTACCGTTCCTCCGTTATTCGTATATATCATGTACTTTATCCATGCCTTGCCATTTACAAACTCGGCTATTAACTGGATTCTTTATGGTTAGTTCGTTCAAAGCATCCTCCTAATCAAAACTAGCAGATCCGTATTATGCACTATTTATAGGTGCCCTAAACGGTCAACTGCAGCAACGTTATCGAGGTGCAAGGTTGAGTAAGAATACGATAACAACGAGGACTGTTGTACAGAGTGCTTGTACAGGGAAACTTGCACCTACCGTAAGTTTCAAACCCCTTAGCGAGATGTTACAGTTTTCTAAAATTTTCCGCTTTAGATGAACGGTTCTGGCACGTATCTTAACCATCCAACAGACGCAATGGGAAGTTCCGCTTGCGATAACGATGCCTCAGAAATGGTCGACGTTCGATTGCTTACTGCTCACGAACCCACTTATCTCTAGCGATAAAGCTGAGATTTGCTAGCCATTACTTATCTCTTTGATTTCATTTCTGTTCTGTTTCACATCACGGGTATATAAAGACTTAGGAGTTTTGTTTAGACACAAAATGCATGTCAACTCTCTGCAGCGTACATTTAGGGTATAGTACTATTTATACCGACCCAATTCACCCCACCTTCATGGACTACTAGTCTATTTTAGTGTTGTCGCAGTTATTATAGGCAGTGTATTAGGTGCTAGAAGGGAGTCTTAGATAGGTTAAAAAACACAATTCCTTACAAAGAAAAAAGAAAACAAATTTCATTACAAAGGGAAAAAAACTGCGTTTAACGTTCTGTATAAAATAGAAGATTGTCTGGCTTCGGAGACAGGGTTTATTAGCGATAATAGGTTTTTTACCCCATATTTACGGTCTTGTATGCTGTATATTGTGATGGCCACATTTATATCATGTTGTGTATGGAATCGGTCGGTGGTCTCCATCGATGGCATCTTGCTTTGCAAGAGATCCATTCCAGAGTTCTTAGTACCCATCTGTCTTCTGTTCTTCTTATTATAGAAGATACACTATGGGCCAATAAGCCTAATAAACTATCCACATTTTGTAGTAAAGTCGTGATAAACTCGAACTTCATGGACACCTTCTAAGGTAATTTCGTCTGAAAATACTACTCCAAAACTTCAGAAAAATGTCGAGAAATTGCTGGTTTTAAGAAGTTTGTTAAATTACAGCGAGATGCAGTCGATCGTTTTTGGATGCCCAAAAAGCCTCATGAGCTAAATTTTTAACCTAATAGTAGCTACTGTAGCTTAGGCAACTCCAACATCTAAAGGGCTTCAGCAAAAACTAGTTACAGGATTAATCATTCACTTGGTTTAGTTCTTAGCTTAGAGAACGACAAGCAGGCGTATGTACTTA